AAGAGGAAATGGAACTACTTTGAACAAGATATCTGCAAAACCTGAATGGAAAAAAGCATAGGATAGAAAGTAGAACTCCTTATTGCACCCATGATTCTCCTCTTCCTCTCTCAGCACTTGCAATCTCTCCTCAAAGCAATAAAAGGCTTACTTGGTGAGATAGAGAGTCTCTCCATTGTTAAGCCACCTGAGCTTTGGGTATCCAGTGGAGTGAAAGGTTTAGACTATATCAAGACTCTCATAAGTTTGGTGAGCTTGGTTTCCTGATAGGATAAGACAAAAGTCTTTATTTCTGCAATGATGCCAAATTGTGTTGGTTACTAATACATTTTCACATGGGAAATTCTTGGCTGACTTTGCCATTAGTGAAAGGTTCCTTCACTTCAACACTATTCCTTGGGAGATTCATATCTTGACAGCCTGAAGCAGTCCAAGAAATTTTTCCTATGCTCTGTGAGTAACTAAACATGGCTGTGTGTGTGTGTAATATATATATATATATATATATATATATATATATATATTTATTCCTTCCTGAGATATTTAATACAATATTTGGTTTATAGCTTGCTAGCTTGTATAAATCATTTGGCATCCATGGGCTGTAAAGTGGGCATAATGATACCTTCTTCCCCATTACTTTTTACCTCTAACAAATCCCATTCATCTATCTCATCTAAAACCTTTCACTCATTGATGTTACTTCTAGTTTTAAGACCTATAACTTGTTGAAATAAAATTATGACTTTAGCTTTGCAAAAGATCATTTGTTTAACTGAGTTTAGTGGAAAGAAAGCCCTACTAAACTCTGCATTATCATAGGTCTGGTAGTGACAAACTTGGGTCCTTCAAAGTCTCTGGTTTCAATAACAATTCTAGTGACATTTCTTTCTAAGTTATACTGCAACTTTTTTTTCTTTATTTGCCATTTCATTTTTTACAATAAGCAATTATCACTTCCTTCTATCACTTGAGATTACTGACACTCAGGGAGAATAAATGATACTTCCAACATCACCAAGTGGCAAGAAGCAATCAGTACCTGGAGCAGGGTCTTCTAACTCCAAGCCGAGTGCTCTGTCTACTACGGAGATGATTACATTCATCATGTCTTGAAGCTGTTCAGTGCTTTATCTTAACACAGAGTCAAAAATATATTAACTGCTTGTTATAAGAGGAGCTCTCTGATAAATACTAGATAACTTCCAATCCCTTCTGTGAAGAAGCTAACAATTGAGTAGTAAAGATAAGATTTCTGTGGAAATAGCCCCAATACAAATCAGAATATAAATAGCTTACAGGTTAGAAAGTTCTTAGATTATCTAGCTAAAGAGTTTGGAATTTATTGATTGGTCATAAGGAGCCACTGGCAATTTGTTGAGTGTCCTGTGTTCACTGAGCTCTTAAAAAAATGGGATGAGTTGAGAGCAAAGATTTACTTTAAAGACAAATGAAGGAGGACAAGCAGGATACAGTGACCTATTCAAGTCACAATGAGTGAGAGGGAAGAAATAGAACTTCCAAGAGATCAAAAGCATCCTGTACCATGCCTTTCCCTCAGTTTCTATTGTGCAGATGAGTGAAAGTTGGCTGGGCAGGAAGACAGGAGCTAGCAGGCTAGGGGAGCTAGCTGAACCTTGGTCTTCCTCTCTGTACCATTGTGTACACATCTGTTGGCTCGCAGGGCCTATTTCACTCATGCCACTTTTTTGTCTCATTATTTGAGAGTGGACTAAACCATGCCACTTGCTTTGGACAATGAGTTGTTAGCAGATCTGACAAAAGTTGTATCTTCAAATGGCCTTGAACTTTGGGCTTTGCTTTTCTGTGCCTCTGTTATCACCAGATGAGCATGTCCTGGCCATTATCAGAGTAAGAGGGCACTGCAAAGTTGCATAGCAAAGAAAGTGGGTAGGGGGCAGGGGAAAAACTGGGGTCATCCTTGCAGTTTTCCAGCATCCATCTAAACTATGCCCAACCTTCATACCATACCATGCTATCTTTCTGTAGCACCTACACTGTATCCTGCTCATTTTATTGAGAACTACCACATGTGAGTTGACCAACCCATTGATACTAGCTGTACCCCTCCTTCAAGCACAGCTTAAGTATCATCTTTTCCGAGAGGTAGTAAACACTTCTAAATCCTACTAATGGTGCTTTTCTCTGGGTGCCTAGCACAAGTATATAGTGGTACCTTGTTTAATATACTGTCCTTTGATAAATGCCTTATTCGAATGTCTCTTTCAAGCAAATATGTAGCAGACAGAGAGTCTAGAGAAGAGGTTGAAAGGGAATATGAAATCCCCAAGTAGCCAGGAACTCCTAGGGTGGAAGGCGTCTCCACTCCTAGACACTTAGAGCCTCTCCAAAGTTGATTCCTTAAGAACTCCAGTAAAAGGCCTTATGCAATCAGGAAGCAAAGGGCTAAGGCCTCTAGGCCTTATATACAGGGGCAGAGAAGAGGAAATTGTGGATAGATATTTGGTGTGACAGCAAACCTGAATTTATGGACAATCAGAACACTCTGTTATTGTCAAAAATATTAATACACAATGGCCTCCTGTGCTGGTCACTTATTTTGTGCCTTCCAAGTAGATATTATAACTCTCACTTAATAGATGAGAAAACTGAGACTCAAAAAAGAGAAGTGATTTACATATGATCAACCAGCTAGAGGCAGAAGAAAGAGAATTGAAACCCAGACCTGCTCAACTCTGGGTCCAGTGCCTTTCTGCTATGCCATCTCCAATGTCTGTTGTCATTGCCATTTCCAGCTGTAAAACTCTGTTCTCAATGTAGGCCATGCTGTTCCTTATGGGTCCACACCAGTAGTTAGGGCTTGTGGTGGGAAGGCTATTATGAAGTATCCTCAGAGAACCTGTCTACAATCCCATGTGCAGACAAACATACCTTGTTCCTTGGGTCCCACTGTCCACCTGCCCCACATGTCCCAGCAGGCCACAGCATTGGCTGGTAGAGCACACAGGCACTTACTGGGGAAGAAGGAGCTGAGATTCTAGTTCTGACTTGGCTGTGTGACCCTAGGCAAGTCTTAGATCTGTCTGGGTTTGAGTTCCTTCAACCATAAAATGAGGAAGTTGGACCACATTTAATTCAACAGACAACTATTTGGCATGTACTAGAGCTAGTGATTGAATCAGGGTGAAGAGATTCATGGTCGGGGGGTGGTCAGTCTTTGCTTTCAAGTAACATTTGGCCCACTGGGGACAATAACACATGCCCAGGTCCCTCAACACAACTCAAGCTATAGTGAGAGCTCTGACAGAGGTACAGCCACACTGTGTGATATCAAGGAAAGAGACACCTGTAGGGAGGTTTGGGAGGGGAAGTTTGCACCAGGAAATTAACAGGCAAAGGAGGCCTCAAGGATAAGTGAGGTTTCAAAGACAGATAAGGGTCTCATTTCATCTAAGTAAGTATCCCCAGAATGTAGACACACAAACACATATGCAACATATGCACACATACCCCTTCTCCTTTTTATAATTTTTTTTTTACTATCTACAGAGTAAGATATATGTTCAGACAAGAAAAAATGAGATAATGTAAGCTGAATGTGTCATTGATCCTTTTATATAAAAACGGAACCCATGACAACATAAAAGAGGGACATAATATGGTATATTAGTCTATCCATGCTCAAAATATAAAATAGTCTCTTTTATTTCAAATATAGCCTTTCTTTTCCCTTCAAACAATGATGGCCATGTTAATGGCAATATTAATAATACCACTTATTAACATATCATCATATACCAGGCAGTGTACAAAGTACCACACACATTTTATTCTTCTTTAACCTTACCACAACTTTGTGAGGTGGCGTACAGAAGCGGTTTAGAAAGTTGACAAAACTACTCAGTTGGGAACTCAGGCTTGACCAACTGAAAGCCAATTACTTAACTAGCCTCCAAGGATGTCAGAAGGTGGTTCTAGAGGTCTTCACACAGGACAAAGAACAAGACTTCTAAATGTCATAGGATTCTTCCATGAGTCTAAAGGGCTTTCAATGATGTATCTTTGTGTTATAGAGGATGTAATGGAGACAACAATGAGACCATCTCAGCCAGCCGTTGGCTGCTGTGCCTGTTGCAGTCCTGAGCTGACCTGACAGCCTTGAATGCCCCAAGTTGCAACAGGCACCCTGGTCAATGACCTCTATTGTGCTCCCAGCCAACAGCACATATCAACTGTCAGCCATGTGTGTGAGCCATCTGGGGGCCATAGTTTAGGAAAGCCTTTAAGTCAGCTCAATGACCAAACAACTACAACCACATGACCCAACAGAAGAACCTACCAGTGGAGCCCAGTCGACCCACAGGACAATAATAGATGATTTTATTTTGGGTAGTTTTGTTACATAGCAATAGATAATCACAGCAGTACATTGAGTTGGGTTGAATTTCAGCCCTGACATAATTTTTCAAAATTTTTTTCCAGGAAATGTATTTTTGGCTTTCAAACTCAAATTCCTAGGTGAGAAAGGTTGTTTCTGACTATTACATAATGGGTTGCCTCCATTAGATGTTGGCAGTGAGCCTGTTTTCTACATCTATATTGGCAAGAGACTCTGTGCAGAGAGACATTTCAGTAGATTAAAGTTTGGCAAAGCCATTAGTGTATTTAAAAGGGAGGGGGGGAAACATGGTCCCTGGTGCCAAAGGACTTTTAATGATTCCTGAAAAAAAATGAAAAAATATTTTAAAATATTGAGAGTAGAAGAGGTTATAAAGTGCAATGAAGTGTTTTAACAGGCAAATCATGTTGGCCATTTCTAATTTTCTCGTATGATAACATTGTGGGCCAGTAGAGTAAAAGGAAGTATGCTTGCATTCCTGAATCAATTTGTATTTGGTCATGCTATATTATTCTTTTAAACACCCATGGATTATGCAATCTACTATCTTAGCTAGGGTTTGTATAGAGATTCTTTATTAAGCTTCTATTATTTTCTTTTTGTTCTTTTGTTTTTTCAGATGCTAATATTTTTCTGGCTTTATGAAGGAATGGCGAGGTTTAGGCTTTCATGATCTGGAACATTCTAAAAGGTATTTGGTTGATTTGTCTTCATAGGCTTGATAGAATTCTCTTGCGAAATACTCTTGACTTAAAATGTGTGTGTGTGCATGTGTGTGTGTGTGTGGTGTGGTGAGAAAGTAGGCATAAAAGAGAAGACAATGATGATTCTGGAATTCTGGCTTGCATATTTGTTTGGAGAGTGTTGCCATTGCCTAAAGTAGGGAGCTCTGGAAGAAGGCCAGGCTTAGGTGGAAATCTCATGGATTTGATTTTAAAGAAATGTTGACTTTCAGATTTTGCCTGAGGAGGAGCCTCAGGGTAGCAATGTACTTGTCAGGGAGAAGATGAGTAGGAAATTTGTGCAGAAGCTGTGTTTAAATGTATTAGTTTGTTTGGGCTGCCACAACAAAGTACCACAAACTGAGTTGCCTGAACAACAGAAGTGGATTCTCTCACAGTTCTGGAGGCCAGAAGTCCAAAATCAAGCCATTAGCAGGGTTGGTTTCATCTCAGAGAAGGACCTGTTTTGGGCCTCTTTCCTAACTTCTGATAGTTTCTTGGCTTGTGGTGGCATAAACCCAGTTTTCACTTGGCATTCTCCCTGTGTGACTGGGACACCCATCATATGAGCCCACAGTAATGACTTCATTTTAACTTGATTGCCTCTGTAAAGCCTGTATTTCCAAATGAGCTCACATTCTGAGATATTGGGGTTAACTTCAACATACAAATTTTAGGGGGAAACACAATTCAAACCACAATAAATATCAAACATACTCTCCTAATTTAGATTTTATGTTTATTTTGGGGTAGCTTATGGGATGGGGCTAATGAAGATTACTTGGGGGAAATATGCCTCACCCACCAACCACTCATTGTTGCTGCCAAAAGTTTGCTGCTATGTATTGAGGTGACTTCAAGATATTCAAAAGCATATATTAGGCTAAGTGAAAGAAGCCAAGCACAGGAGACCACATATTGTATGATTCAATTTCTATGAAATATCTGGAATAGGCAAATCCATGGAGACAGATTTGTGGTTGCTTAAGCCTGGGGTTGGGGCTGGGATGTGGAGCACAGCTAATGGATATGAGGTTTCTTTGGGGGGGTGATGAAATGTTCTAAAATTAAATTGTGGTAATCAACATACGAGGGGCCGGGCGCGGTGGCTCACGCCTGTAATCCCAGCACTTTGGGAGGCCGAGGTGGGTGGATCACGAGGTCAAGAGATCGAGACCATCATGGTCAACATGGTGAAACCCCGTCTCTACTGAAAATACAAAAAAAATCAGCTGGGCATGGTGGCGCGTGCCTGTAATCCCAGCTACTCGGGAGGCTGAGGCAGGAGAATTGCCTGAACCCAGGAGGCAGAGGTTGCAGTGAGCCGAGATCACGCCATTGNAAAAAAAAAAAAAAAAAAAAAACTACTGAATTATAATTTAAACTGGGTGAGTTGTATGATGTATGAATTTGATCTCAACAAACTTGTTAGACATCGTCAGCAGGTGGATGTAGGAATATTTGACTAGATGAATCTTAACATTCAATTCAGCCATGAGATTTTAAGATCCTGCATTCCTTTATCATTTTGAGTCTCAGTTTTATCTCTTGTGGGATGAAGAGACGGAAGTCTATGAAATAGATGATTCTCTTTCTCATTGAGCTGAGAAACATCACCTGACATCCTTATTTTACCTACAGAGCAGACTAGTTTAGAGTATGGACTTTGGAAGCAACATATTTTGATTTGAATCCAGTTCTTTCATCTACTAGCTCTGCAATTTTAGACAAATTATCATACTTCTCCCAAGCTTAATCTCCAAAAAGGAAAATGGAAGGGAATAATACAAGTACGACCTTCTTCACAGGGCTGTTGAGAGGATTTAATGTGATAATATTCAAAAGGGCTCAGCAAATAGCTGGAACATGGCAAGTCACTACAGGAAGGTAACTATTAATTTCCTATGGCCAAGACTAATGACTACTTCATTAGTGGAGCAGATGATTCTTTTTCAATTGGAAACAGACCATTGCGTTGCCCCTTGACATTTTATATTCTATCATTTATACATTCCATGTGATTTTTAATTATTAATTCAGCAACATCTGTGTCAGTTCAGAACATATTTTTCCTCACACCCCTCCTGCAGTCTGGTAAGATCTTTGTGTTATCAAATAATCAGCTTTCCTCTGTTTACAAGAGGTACCAAATGCCAAATTTGTAATCATTAAAAGCAATTTTTATGGAGGCAAATACATCTAGTTAATATTTATTGGGCACATATTTTGTTCAAAATATTATGCCAAGCACAGAGGGACGTGCAAAGATGAGCAATATAAAGATGTTACTCTCACAAATCCCATGGTTTAATGGGGAAGATGCCCCCATGTGTTAATTCAGTGATACATCAGATATTAGGGGGATGGAAAGATATGTAATGCAATGCATCATGTTGAGCTCAATAATAGATGTATGAACTAAGTGCTGAGGACACCTGGAGAAAGAAGTGATTGACTCAATACGGAGAGGACATGCTTGCCAGGTGGAGAGGTGAATGAGGCCATACCCAGTAAAATTAGGGAATACATTGAATTTCTCATCATTCAACAAACAGGTCATGCCTTTTCATGGCCTGAATTTCTGATTCAGAGACCAGGCCAGTCTTCATGTTTAGGTAGAGCTACATCTGGAATGTCAAAGCAATATTTGGATGTTTAGAGAAGAGACTAGGGAGGGCGATCATAGGAAGGGAAGATAAGGTCAGATTATGAACGGCCTTCATGCTAAGACATTGAGACAATAAAAACTCATAAAGGGGAATGGTAAACCCAAAATTACACATAAATGTGGCTGTGCACATGCATAAGTGGAAAATAGAACACACAAGCATTTTTTTTCTCCACTTTTTACTTAGTGTTCTCAACCCAGAATTTTGTGTGCATTGATCCGGAAATTGCTTTTTTTTTTCCCTAATAGGTAAGTATTTGAGCAACAAGATGGCATGTCGTTTCAACATCAAGCTCACTGATGACTCATTTGTCTCTCAGCAACTAAGCTTTTCATTGTCAGTAACGTTAATTATACCTATCATTCACTCTAAAATGACCTTTATTATTTTTTCCCTTATAGCATTCTCTCCACATGGGCTCATGTTCGGGAGGCTGGAGACTAGTGATGTCAGCCCTGAGTTTTCATCATGTGGCAATCAGAGCTCTAGAAGCACAGGTCAGACTTCCAGGCTCTCCTGTTGCTCTGCCTCTGGCGTTACGTGCCTGAACTGAATTGGCAAACCATTCTTTGCTACCAGGATGCAGAAAATCAGGTTTCTCATTTTCCAAATAATTCTTCATTTCAAAAGGTTGGGGCAAGATTTGCAGAAGAGAGTTGGAAGGAACAAACATTTATTAAGACATCAGTGAATGAATGTGGACTGTGAGCTCCAAAGACCCATATTTGAATACCAAATTTGCCACTTATTTTCTGGGTAACTTTAAGGAAATTGCTTCCCTGCTTTGAGGCTCTGTTTTCCCCTCCTCTAGAGAATGAGGATGTTATTATTTATCCTGCTGGCTTGCTGTGTGGCTTGAATGAAGTTCTCACTGCAAAGCATGTGATCCAGACTCAGGTACAGGTTGATTCCTACAGTCAAAGGTTCAGGAGAAATGACAGCTATGGTGAGCTCTCACCTCCTGCAGGCTGTAGTAAGCCAGTGTGTAGCGAGAAAATGGTGTAAAAACTACTGATACGGTTTAGCTGTGCCCCATCCTAATCTCAACTTGAATTGTACCTCCCAGAATTCCCACATGTTGTGGGAGGGTCCCGGCGGTGGGTGGGGGAGTAATTGAATCATGGGGGCCTGTCTTTCCTGTGCTATTCTCATGATAGTGACTAAGTCTCATGAGGTCTGATGGGTTTGTCAGGGGTTTCTGCTTTTGTTTCTTCTTCATTAGCTCTTGCCTTTGCCTTGTTAGAAATGTCTTTTGCCTAACATCATGTCTCTGAGGCCTCCCCAGCCATGTGGAACTGCAAGTCCACTTAAGCCTCTTTTCGTTCCCAGTTTCAGGTATGTCTTTATCAACAGCATGAAAATGAACTAATACAACTACCCTTGAAAATTCCGTAAGCTAAATGACTGCATATATGATTTTATGGACATGAAAATAAGGTTGCTTCTGGTTAGTGGCCACAGTAAACAAAAATCAAGTAAACAAAACATATATTTTAGTATTGAGATCATATTAATCGCAGAACTTATTAACATATTAGATATACATGGGAACCAAGAACCACTGGGATATGGGAATAAGAAAAGTCCAGGGCTGACTTCATGGTTGTACATTCTGTGGCATTGCAAAAGGCCTCACCCTGAGAAGAACCCTGTGCTTGGCCCAATGCTCTGCTATCACTATCTTGAAATTCTTAATGTTTGAATAAGGAGTCTCTCAGTTTCACTTTTCTCTGGGCCCTGCAAATTATGTAGTTAGCCGTAGTTACGTATTTAAATTATTACTTCTCTCTTACCCTCATTCCCATCTCCATTTGGTATAGTTGAATTCACATAAAGGCTTATATGATATGTTGTATACCTAACTGACTGTTGTACATAGTATCTTAGTGCATTTTCAAGCATACCTGGGAGATTGGTATAATTGGCCCCATTGGAAGGGTGTTGAATTTACTCACGGTCACATGACTAGTAAGGCAATTGGCATTCCTGTCTACTCTTTCTATTATGCCACAATGAATGAGACAAAACATGAAAAGAAATTTCAGTGCAAAAGTAGGAGCTGTAGGAATACATTTGAACTAAATGGATGAAGAGGGGCATGCTGGAACCAGTAACACATAATTAATTTATGTTAAATTTCTCCAGATATGTGCTTGCTTTGTGGTGTGAAATCTGCAGGTTTTTGCTCATCATTGTATTCCCAGCCCCTAGCATAATGGTTAGCATGTAGAAGATGCTCAATAAATGCTTGTTGAATGAAGGATAATCCTGCCAGGTTTTGCTTCACTCTGTATTAATAATATGGCCTTCCTTCTTGCATATTCATACGTTTGCTCCTTTTATTTGAATCCCCGTCTGTTTAACAGAAGAATGTTCTTTAGCAAGCATGATGACTAATGATATCAGGCAAAAAGTTCCAAGATCTTAACTGATGAATAAACACAAACTTTGCTAATGACTTTGCTTTTTGTATAAGACTTTGCTGGTATTTTAAGCTCTGGGAGAGTCCTGGTTACCATTTGAATTCTATGCTACATGGAGTGCCTTGGAAAAGGCTTTAAAAGAAAGAACTCCTATTCTAAGTTGAAATTTTTAAATTAGGAGTTCTCTCCCTGCCACACCTAAGAATGAATTAGCACACCCTCTCTGTGTCATTATCCATTCATCCTTACTCTGTCCCCACAGTCACGTGTTATGAGGGACTTTGGATTTTTCCTCCTAAATTGCTCAACACCACCCCTCTTCTCCATGACCCATTATTTCTCCATCTTGGAACTCACATTTCACCTTCCTGGACAAATCCAACGGTCTTTCAGTAGGCCTCTCTGCCTCCTTCTAATAGGGTCATTGTACAGCAGCCAGAGAAGTCTTTCCAATACAAGACTCTAAACTCAGCACCCTCTTCTTACAAGGCCCCTGGTCTCTCACTGTCAGCTGCATAAGTTCATATCTATTGGCATGCATTGCAGAACCCTTGCCATCCTGCTCTCAAATACCTTTTTAGTTGATTCCTCTACATAAACCCACTCATGGCATAACCCAGGCTTTCAGCCTGGTTCTCTGAGAAGCAGACTCAAGTACAGAGTTTGGTGTTCAGGTGAGATCAACACCTGTGAAAGGAAGGGTAGAGGGAGGAGTTAAACCATAGTAATGCAATACCAGTGGTGGCCTCTGCCTACCCCAGTGGGAGCTCTGGAGAAAAAGAGCTGCTAAGATTGTCCCTCAGTGGACCCAAATGTCTGAGCAGTGGTAGGTAGTGGTCACTCCTGGAATGATGTGACCCTGGGTAAGATGGCTCTCTGTAGCTCAGGCCACCCTTAAGGAGCTGACTGCTGGAGATGCTTCTCTGCAAATGCTTCTAGCATTTGGGAAAACAACATTTTTCCCTCCCAGGAGGGAATCAGGAGGAGGACCCAGGAAGCACATCTCCATGTTTGCTTCACCTAATCTCTTTTTTCCTGCGAAGAACTTTTCCTCCTTTTCTGCGGCTTCATGCCGTTGTACCTGCCTTTTCTTCTGTCTGAAATGCCCCTTGCCTGCCTCTTTTTCCCTTTGATCTGAATACTTTTAGTTTTCCTTTATGACTGATGTCAAATGCTAAGTCCTCTTGAAGCCTCCTGTCACTCACCCAGGTAGAGTTAGTTGCTATTTCATGTTTTCATTCAATGTACATTTCATATATACATGCATCATAAGCTCTGGAATAGACACTAAAGATATAGGAGGTGCAGTTGTTGCCCTTATGATCTCCTAATGACATGTGCCCTTTTTTTTGTGCTGTGGCAATGCTCAGTGCTTCCTTTTATTTTAGCATCTGCTACACTGCCTTTTTATTCACCCACTCAGTTTTTCATTTGTTCATTCACTGAGTATTAATCAAACTTTTGCCTTCCATGTACCCAGTGTTCCACTAAGCCCTAGGATGCAATGATGCCTAGTCAGCTTTGCTGAGGGATAAATATTAATCATATCAAGCCTGCACAATTCTAACTTGGACAAAGAATATGAAGTTTATGGAGCTAGGAGGTTTTACAATAGTGCATTTAGCCTAGACAGGGAGGTCAGGGGAAGTGGCTGGTAGAAGTGATTATTACAATATAATTTGGTGAAGGGAGAGGAAAAGAAGCCTTTCAGGTAGAGATTGCAGAATGTGCCCAAACCACATGGCAGGGGATCTGAAAGAGAATTTAAAGATGAGAATGAAGTTGGATGAGGCTGGAGTTCACAGAGTGAAGAGAATAATAGAGAACAATGTGTGATGATTGTAAATGCTCATGAGAAAGTTTATGGCTTGGCATTTATGCTCAGAGCAGTGGGAAGCCATTAAACGGTTTTAAGCAAGAGATCGAAAGGATCAGATTAGAGAGCTGAAAATATGCTCCCACTTCAGTGTGGAGAATAGATTGGAGGATGGCAGAGACACCATGTGGGAGACTGTTAGCTAATGAAATGAGGGTAACTTGAACTAAGGAGGGGGATGGACAGTGGGAGATAGATCTAGAACAATTTGGGGGGAAAGACAGCAAACCTGGCAATCTTTGGTGATTAGTTTGTATGTCATTAGGGATGACGGGAAGGGAAGTGTCAAAGCTGACTTTAGATTTCCATGAATCCCTAGCCCTTCAGGATTTTAAATCTGATGACAATTATAAACTTCTTTCTGGAGGCAGACACACACACACAACCATTTTTCATATCATTTCAGAAGGACATAAAGAACTTGTAAAGGCCATTTATCAGCTCCAGGTGGGAAAGAAAATCAAATCTTATTCCTCCCTGTACCTCCAGATTCTATTCTAGAAAATAACATGGAATTTGACATGTAGTACATGTTCATTGAAGTATTGAATAAAGGTGACAGGAGATAGAGAACACTGAGACACTTCTGGTGGTTAATTTTTTGCTCTTTCAACTGCAATATGGATGTAAGAGTCCTAATAGAAGAGCTATACTTGCATGCCTATGAACCAAATGCTCATTAGCTTGCAAGGCAGCATTAGGTGGGAAAGGCCACAAATGGACTCATGAGCCTCCAGGTGGTGAAGAGGAATAAATTTCAAAGTATTAAGGTTCCAAAGACTCAAGATTTGTCTGCAGCAGATGTCTCTCCATAATGGTAAGTACTTTGGACTAAAGAATAAAACTGTCTGTCTTTATATTATGTGGGGGAGTGCATCATTTAGAGATGAAGACAGTCTGCCTATGGCTGAATGGGTAAGTTAGGTTAATGTTACCGTGTGGAAGAAGGAAAAATGGTAATTGTGTTGATAGAGATTTAGAATAGAATCATGCCTTTGCAGATAAGACATTTCAAGAGGCTGGTAAAGATCAGAGGGAGAAAAAATGCATAGGAGGAAGTTTTAGGGAAGATTTATTTTGCATTTATTAACCCTAGGGTGGGTTGGATTTTTCTCTTTGTACTTTAAACAGCTGCATATTAGAGAGAATTGCCATCTGAACCACAGACTCTGTGAGGGGCCTCAGCGATCACCCGATCACCTGGTTCAGTCCCCACCAGAGCAGGAATTCCCCCTGCAAGACCTCGGCAGATGGTTTGTGTTTCCTCCTGAAGCTGTGCTAATGAGGCTCCATTGAACAACTCTGAGGTAAAGTCCTGTTCTGATTGTTGAGTCTATACCAGGAATGGCAAATAGATTAAATTTGCATGACAATTCCAATTACTCGATAGTGCTGAGGGATTCTGAGGCTGAGCATCAATTATTTTTTTTCAAAAAGGCAATAATTGTGATAACCTAGAAACTAAAAATGTTCTATATTTGCCATTCCTGGGCTAGGTCTTTCAGTCACTGAATTTAACTTATATTTATTGAGCATCTACTGTGGGCCAACCCTTAGAGGGTTAGAATATAAATCTAATGGCTCTTTCTCAGTTCACATTTTACCTGCCCTATCTGCTACATCAGATACAGCATATAAATGGCATTTGAAGACATGGGACTGGAGGTACTGGAGGTATCTAGACAGAATGTGAGACAGAACAAAGGAGATTTGGGATCATAACTGTGGCTCAC